GAATTTTCTGAATTGTTGATATCTGTCCTATTTGAATTTATTGATATATTTTGTAAACTGACTTCTCTCCTTCAGCTGAAAGTATTTTGATAAGTGAACGTTTGTGGTAAGCCACTTTGTGTCCTGCTCACTGTGGAAAGGTGGCAAATAAATAAACTCAAGCAATCCATCAATTACAGGAGGGTACAGGAAAGCAAATGAATCAAGAACAGGACCCTTTCAGCCCAAACTTGGAGTGTATTATTCACTGTAGCTCATCAGTCCCCCTGGGATTATTTAAAACACACATACATTCCAAAGCAAATCCAATATTTATCTCCTCATATTGCAATGTACAACTTCCCAGCTTTTTGAATGTGAGTTGTTCAATGCTTTCATTTACAGAGGTTCACTGAAAATTAATTTTCCCAGGGATAAAAACAAAACAAAACCCTGAACAATTAAGGTCCAGTGTGCATCTCATTTACAGCATAACTGGAATGCAATTTTCATGTATTACATGTATTCCCAAAGGAATAATAGAAAAAAACAAACTTTGGAAGGAGGCAGGTGGTTCAACAGTAGCTCTTTGTAATCCATTCTTTGAACCCTAGCATATCTTTATTTAAGAAGAGGTAAAGGGGTTGTGCATGAAACAATTAGTCAAATGAAGGCTTAAACTGGCATTTTGGGCTTGATCGTAGAAAAAAAGAGGGTTACACACACACGACAGAGACAGAGAGAGAGAGAGAGAGAGGGAGAGAGATCACATATTGTTTCTTGAGTTTTAACTACTGAATTTATAGTAAGCTTTCATTCCCCATTAATTGTTCCTGCATCCATTGCAGAGAAGGCTATTTTGCATCCAGTGGCCTACTTTTGAAACCAGGGCTTATGAGAATTTTACTTGCCTTGGAGCAAACATGACCGGGTCTACTCTCCAGTAGTAGACAATGTGGTGGGGTCATAATGCTGCTGCTTAGTGGCAGGTAAGGAAGGGCAAAATGGTGGTGAGGTCAACATAGTGAAAATGCACCGGCAGAACCAATCCCTGTCTATAGTCTTGAAGAGTTGCTGCCAGTCAAGGCCAACTATGTTTAACTAGATAGAACATTGTTCTGACCTGGCATAAAGAAGCCTTCTGCATTCCACAGCTTTTTAGATCGTGATAGGTATGATCTGAGAGAAGGCAGGTTTCACAGCTGAGACGGAGAAAGCAAATGGTAACTTGGCAACCCTCAGCAGAAAAGCTGCTAGGATGAACAGAGGCAAATTGGAACACATAACTTTTGTGGCTTTATATTAGTTGTGGAAGAGGGAATTGTAATAGGGCCCTGGGCATTGTATAGAAGTGACATGCACCAAAGGTCTTACTTACATTCTACGGAAAGGAGGTGGTTTTGGGAGAAGGTCAGGGATGGAGAAATGAATAATTATAAAGAATTAGGTGAAAGTAACAAAGGAATAGGGAATGCAAGGCTAGGAAATGAGGGAGGTCTGAAAGAGAAACTTGGAGGAAAAAAGAGATGGAGAGCGAGGGAAAGATATCGTTTCACAAAAAGGTTCCCACAAAAGGAATTATCTTTGAACGAAGGAAGAGCAGATCTCACTGTCCCCAGGGGATATTTTAATGGAAGTACACCAGCCTTTTTCATTATTTTCATTCTACATAAATAAACCCTCCAGTTCAGCACCAGCTTGAGGTTTGCCTTTCTTTTGATGCTGTCTCTTTTCTGTGGCTGCCCTGAGAGCAAGACTCTCAGTGGAAACAGCAGAAGCAGTCCCAGAGTGCAATCGCCACTTACAGGCAATGACTAAGAACTGTAGTGTATCTTGCCCACGTTTAAGCATCACAATTTACTTGGAGTAAAACACACACACACACACACACACACACACACTTTCTCTTCCTTTTCATTGTGTAGACTCAAGGATTTCTTCTTCTTTTAATAATACAGGCAAGCTGCAGAGCTGGAGTGCTACTTAATTTAGTGTTTAATCAGTAGAACTATTGTGGCATTGGCTGATTAGGCTGGCTCGACTGTTGCCTGCTCAATTTTTCCCCATAATTGCAGGATATACTTTATTGTGACAGGGGCCCCGAACGGTGGAATTCCAATATGCTATACATCAGGTTCTCCATTACTGGATTAGTTAGATGTGCCATCATTACTGCTGCACTTTCCTGCCTATCATTGATCGCGTTGTTCTCTCTATTTCACAATTAATGCAAGTCAGCTGGATTGATCAATCTTCTGATGAGTTTGGTCCACAGTCAATATATTCTTATGGTGCTGTGTTACTGAGCTGCATGTTTATAGCTACACCTAGAGATCTGTCATCCTAGCTGTAGAATTTCTCATTTTTGGTAGAGCAGTGCTGGATATTCTCCAATTTCAATATTCGCCTCAGAAGTGGGACTTATGACGCAGCCCAACAAATTACTAAAAAACTTCCCCACATGGTCAAATGCTAGCATTTTGTGAACCTTCTAAGAGCCCACTGGCTCGGGCCACTAGAACATCTAGTTCGGCATCCTCTTCTCACAGTGGCTACCCTGATGCACAATGGGAAGCGTGCAAGAAGGACCAAAGCATTCAGAAGCATTGCTGCCTCCAACTGTGGAGGCAGAACATAGACATTATGTCTAGTAGCCATGAATAGACTTAGCCTCCGTGAAAAGGGAGGTAGCTTTGAGGTTGTCAACCACTTTCTGTTCCTCTGGATGCTGCTTAGTGCTGTGGAAGAATATATATTATTAATCCTAATTAAAACCAACTACCAAATAATTAAAAAAAAGAAATTGGACATGTCCATACTCAAAGAGGATAAATTCTCATTTGCAGGGTAGTTGAGGGTTGCTTGTAAGTGCTGTAACATTCATTCTACTACAGTGGTACCTCGGGTTACAGATGCTTCAGGTTACAGACGCCGCTAACCCAGAAATAGTACCATGGGTTAAGAACTTTGCTTCAGGATGAGAACAGAAATCACATGGCGGCAGTGGGAGGCCCCATTAGCTAAAGTGGTACCTCAGGTTAAGAACAGTTTCAGGTTAAGAACGGACCTCCAGAATGAATTAAGTTCTTAACCTGAGGTACTACTGTAATTGCCTCATGGGTATGGCCAGGGAGCAGCAGGCAGCTGCCCCCCCATCAAATAAATTAAAATATTTAGCTAACTGACCAATTGTGTCACAGATAACTCTTTTTCTGACCCCCCAACATAAAGCCTTCCCCCCCTTATAATAAATCCTGGCTATGCCCATGAATCGCCTCACTAGTTTTCTGCATTCTTTGGGCTTCCCGGCTGCCTGTGTGCTTCAGCCAAAGTGCTCAAGAAGGTATCATGAGGTAACCCATGATCCATCCCACCTCACCCAAGATCAGGAACTGTGAGCAGCCAAGGAGGCTGCAGATTCTGGTGAAATGTAGACCAGATAGAAAAAAATACATGTACACACTACTGCCATCCACTTTGCAATGACATTTGCCCTCAGTTATGTCAACCCATAGCCAGATACAATTGGCTGTATGGTGCCATGACATTGCCACACTCCGAAGCTGGTCTGATTAGCTAATATTGTTAAGTACCAGCTTGAACTTCAAAACAAGACTCTTCTCATCTCCAAGCAAAGCTAGCCCTTGTTGGGTAAGGCATCTGGAGCCAATGACATTTGTATGCAGTCGCAGAGCTGGATAAGGTTTGGTTTAAACCATCCTTCTCAGGAGGAGCTTCAAGATCATTGAACTAAAGTTGGGCTAAAATGCCCCCAAATTCCCCAAAATAATATTATCCTACCTTAGAAAATGGGAGACCAATTATCACTGCTTTTTGTGAATTTTTGATAAAATTCTCAGGAATGTTAGGGATGGATTTGCCACTAACCATATTAGGTCTCATCATGAACTGCTGCCAGAATGAAACTTTGTATCAATCACACTTTGCAGAACGTTACATGGTGTGACATGTGAGGTTATGCAAGATAGCAACAGCCCTCTCCTGAAAATTCAAGAGAATTTTATCCCATCACCACCAACATGATTTTTCAGGAGGACATTGTTTCACTCAACAAATGGCCTAAAAAGGACAGCACAACTCTACCTTGAACCTAGTCCTTGCACACAGTCCAAATGTTTCTACTTAAGGCATCATGCAGGACTAGAATATATAAAACTCATCCATGAAATTTAAGCTTTTCAGGGACTACAGAAAGAAGACACACTTGAGTGTCCAGGAAATATAAAGGAGCCTTGCACAGCAGAAGCCTGGAAGAGTCTTGTGGAAGTCTTGAAGATGCTCCTACCATATTATGAAAAGCATGACCTTTTGGCTTCTCCTGTGGAGCAGGCTAATGGAAGTTTAAATTCCATCACACCTGGGAACCCTATAGCTATACCTCACCTGTCACATAGTGAGAACATCTACCTCATTACAATATTTTTTTTAGCAGTGACAATTTTAATGAGATTCACTAGTGGGATCGAAATGTGCATACTCTCCACCACTACCACCAGTGTATCCTCCACAAATTATTTCAGCAGAGGAGTCTCACTTTGGCCCAGACTGCATCATTAGCCTAATGCTCAGTTCAGCCCAGCTGCCAAATCAAAGAGGGGACTATCCATCTGATTTCTTCCAAATGGGGAGAAAGGGCAATTCCAAGGGTCAAATGTTGGTGCTGGATTTGGCTGCGAAACACAATTTTAACCTCACACATTCAGAGGGTCAACTGCTTGACCTCTGGAAGTGCCTCAGTGGAATCGCGGGCAGTTCTGGAATATAAAAAAACCTGCTTCAAGTACCCAACGAGACACAGTAAGATACAAAACTAGCCTTTGTTGTGGAGTCCAGTGGCTGCTGTCATGATATTCCAAAACTAGTCACTATCTGAGCTCAAAAAATCCCAAAAAAAGTCTGCAGCAAGTTTTCGAAGTTTTTATCCTTATCTGAAACTCTGGATAGCTGCTGCCAGTCAGTGAAGACATTACTGAGTTAGATGGCATAAGGCTGCTTCCTATGTTCCTTAGCTCAGTAGCAGAGCATCTGTTTTGCATGCAGAAGGTCCCAGGTTCAATCTTGGCATCTCCAGGTAGAGGTGAAAGACATCCTTGTCTGAAATCCTGGAGAGCAGCTGCCAATCAGCACAAACAGTACTGAACTAGTTGAACCAATGATCTGACTTTGTATAAGCCAGTTTTCTATGCCCCTATGCATAGAACAACCGTACAAATAGGCTCTGTCTTATAACCACCCCAGGCATGGTACACTCTTGATAATCCTAAAATCCTTCCCTCCATTGTGTCTCATTCCTCAGGGCCACATTTTGTCATATACAGCAAAGTTTGAGACCTGAAGCTAGAGAGACTTACAGAAGTTTGGCTAAAAATGCAGAATGAAAAATATTAATTTCTTTAATAAAACAGAATCTAACTAAGGAATAATCATTAGAAGTTATATGTCACTGAGAAGAAATGAAAGCTGTAGTAATAGCTTAAAAGCTGCCAATTCTATTAGAGTAATGTTTGAAAATCTCCTCAGGAGATTTAAGTAGAAGGCAGTTATGTGGCTCAAAGTGTTTTGTTCATTTCTTTTGGTGGGGGGGAATAATAGCTATTATTACTACTGCTCTGGCTTCTTGTATATCCAAATTGAGGAGCTATTTAAAGGTAACTGTGAACTAGAGGGTCATGTACCTATACGTTGGTAGCTCAGCAAAGGGGCATCAGGAAATTAATGCACATGACTAATTTAGACCCGTTAATTTCAATAGGCTGTACTGAGCACTCGTCCTTCTCAGAGGAGACACAATGAAATGTGTGGACACAACTAACTCAGGTCCAATGTTGCAGAGCAAAATATGAATGGCAACATTGGGGTAACAGCTCTATAGATGATTGGTAAATGGTAGATGATCCCCCATGTAAAGTCAGGGGCACCATCTTCTTAAGCACTTGGGGGGGGGGCTGGAGCTGGCGCCTATGTTCACAGCTCTGTTGACGAGATCTGAGGCTTTAAAGATGGGTCCTTCTTACCCTCGTACTTTGTAGCGAACCTGTCTCTTCATATCAAGCAGGAGTCGGAAAACTCAGGTCCATAGGGGGAATACAGCCCGCCGGGCCTCTCCATATGGCCCTCTGGACTATCTGCAGGCCACAGCCACTCAGCCACACCTCTCACTTGCCTGAGTTGCTGATAGCTCAGTCAGTAGAGCATGAGACTCTTAATCTCAGCATCATGGGTTTGAGCCCCATGTTGGGCAAAAAAATCCTGCATTGCAGGGGGTTGGACTAGATGACCCTCTTGGCCCCTTCCAACTCTATGACTTCACATTCTTCTTGAGTGTTTTCGTCTGGCTGGGATGCATCCTTGAAATCTCACAATGCCTCTTACTTGCCTGGATGTAGGAAAAGAGAGAGATGCGTGAGACAGAGGCGGATTAGGGGAGTGTGACTGGTTTACCCATGCTGGGCACCAAACTAATAGGGTGTCACAACAATGACAGAACAGACCGCAAGAGGCAGGAGAGCCCCCAAATGTTGGCATCACACTGGGTGCTGTTGAAATTTGAAAGCCCAAAGTCCACCAATGTGTGAGGGTGTGTAGAAACCAGCGTACAATACTTTGCTGATCTGACCACCTTTTCCTCTGACCCTGCTCACCACTGTATTCTGCAGCCTGGAAGATTACCCCAAAGAGAAAGTGGCTCTTGAGCTTAAAAGGAAAATAAATAAATAAAATCTCTCATCCCAGTAACCATCACACAGGCAAGAAATGAATGGAAACTTGCACCAAAAACAAATAAAGCATTGCAACAAGAGCATTTCTGTTCTGTCCTTTTAATGCATTTCTGGGGGGTGGGGAGTCTTTGAATAAAGAAAAACTACTTCACATTTTATTGTCTTTCTTTTTTTAAAAAAAAGAAAATAAGGGTCCTCAAAAGTTAAGTTCCTAAATCTATCTTTAGACTACTATATATAGCTGGCCTAATTTTATGAATTGCTGAGCAACCAAGAAATCGGTGAAGTCAATTAGAGCAATGAGAACTTGCCATCTATTTAAAGGAGGGAGGGAATCAGGTCGCATACCAAGGCCCCCACATTTATGCCTTATCAGTATTTCCCTCTAAGTTCTCAGCCTGAGCTACAGCAGGTGTCAAATTTAATGATTTTTTTAAAAACCCTGAAAATATAGCAAGTAAAAATCAGACATTTTAAAACAGAGTTATAGGTATAGGTAATATTACAGGAAACTGCAAGCAAGCCCAGATAGGAAGATACATGTGGGCAACAATTTATACCACTCAGGGTGAGGGGCTCGATTGTTTGGACAGTGGGGGGTGAAGGATGTTAAGTTACTCAAAAACTACAGGGTGAAAGTCTGTTGGCACAGAGTGAGACCCTCTTTGTGTGAGAGACAGGGAAAGGGAGGAGAGTCATAAGTGAATAAACAGAATGAGAACTGGTTGTTTTCACCTGTTCCAATCTATTTGAATGTTTTACTTGCTTTCACATAGATGTTTGGTAAAACTGAAAATACTGATTTCTGCTGCTGTTCGTTTTGCTATTTTACCTTATGATAGACTTGTTTAGTTGTTTACTGGATCTGTTTACATGAATTTGTCATTTTTTGTATATTGTTTTCCCTCTTTATATTTATATGGCTTTGTTTTCCACTCCCGGATTGAAAACATTCCGTGAAGAATGGACTAAAAATACTATTAAATAAATAAATAATATCTATCAATCCTAGCAAAACATGTGTAGCATACATTTGCTGGCTTTAGGTAAGTCAGAAAATTCCAACAAAAAGAGAAATGGGAAAATAAATTGCCGATGTTTGCTTATTTGTCCAATGTCAAGCATGGGAATCAGTTCAGAGAATAAGACAGGTATTATACTACTTTCATTAGTCCACAATAAGGGACGCTTGCCAGTTACATGTAGCATCATGATACATTCTGAAACTGTCCAAGGCACCACAAGAGTCACAATAGCACAATGTAAGTATTAGAGCTTTCCACCTGACACTCACTCACTCACTCACTCACTTTGTGTGTCTCTGTGTGTGTGTGTGTGTGTGTGTGTGAGAGAGAGAGAGAGAGAGAGAGAGGGAGGGAGGGAGGGAGGGAGCAGGGAGAGAGAGAGAACCCTCTTTTGTATACCACAAAGCATTTCAAAGAGGCATCATGGTGGCCTCTGTAAAAATAGATGCTGGACTAGATGGTCTTTTGGCCTGACCCAAAAGGTTCTTATGTTCTTAAAGCTTTTAACTCACCACCACAGTAGAAAACTTAGATCCCCAAAATAAACACAGTTAAATACCCCCTCCCAGTAGCCTAACCAATCTTCCTCCCTTTGTTGCAGTAAAGAACCTCCCTAAGTAACCTGTAACCCTGTAATGTTTTCCTTCCATAACACTTAGTTCAATGTTCAGTCTCACTGGGTTCAGTCCTGGCCTAGATTATTCCAGTGCCAGTTAGCTTGTATGTAACAGGTAAAAAAGGTAAAGGGCCCCTGCTCACCCCTTTCTACTGAGTTTCCCCTATTTCCAGTTTCTGTCATTTGAAATAGCTCCATCAATGTGTTTGCACTGCACTGACCTCCCACCACCACACTTCTCCCCATCTCCCTCCCCATAGGCAACAATGACCCCGCTGCAGGGAAAACAGCATAGGGGCTCTGCCCCACCAGGTGAGCTGCATCTCAGTATAAGTCAACTTCCTACAATCCTACATGAGTTTTTGCCATGGGGCACCCTTGTTTCAATCACAGAATTGTAGAGCTGGAAGGCACAACAAGAGTCACCTAGCACAACTCCCTGCAATCCAGGACTCCATGTTTCCTGTTTTTCAATCACTTACGGAGTATTTTCCCACCTCGTGGGTAGATGAATATGGTACATTTCCCCAAATCCCTAAGAAGCAGGTAGCACCCTGTTCCATTTAAAACACATAAATGTACGTGAAGTAGAAAGCCCAGATATGTCAGCATGCTGTGCATGGTACTAAGCTAAAATCCATCGAGCCCTTTGCTCTCTGTGCAGTGTGTTGTTAATGCATTTTAAGAGATTTACAGAGCTACAGCATTTCAGTTACACTGATATAATGACAGATAATAAAACAACGTTGTTCACTTATTAAATTGGGACAGGTTATTTGTGCCAGATGAGCAATATAGAAATTTGCTTCAGCTATAGGGCTCAGAACTGCAAAGGAAAGCAAGTTTGGATATAATTAAATTATACACTACAAAAAAGATTTATACTAAGCATTAACCAAAACCTGTATTCTCTTCCACTTCATGAAACTGAGAAATGACAAAACTAAGAGAGTCTAAAAATTAAATAATAATTATGGCATGTTTTCCTAAATTGCACTCTGGTTTTTTGTGTCTTAAAAAAATGTTTTCAATTGCATTTGCATACACATCAAGAGAGACAGGAAATTGGAAGGCAATCAAGTTTTCTGCAGTTGAAAGATTCAAAATGAAATGGTTAGCACCGACTTAAAGTTTATTGCTAGAAGAGAGATATCGGATATAAAGCAAAACATCCTTTTCAGACACACTTGTGTTTGATCAGCAATGAAACTCTTAATTCTTCCCTTCTCTTCATGTTTCTCCATGAATGTTATAGGATTATTTTTTTCAGGGGCTGGGGGGGAGAGAAAGATGTCCATCGCTGGACATTCTGGAAATGTGATGTCCATTTCACATTTTAGACAAAGATCTCAGATATGGCAAGAGTGCACATAAAGATATGTGATTGCAACAAACACACAGTTCTTAAGAAATGTGAGGTACTACACATTTTTCCTTTAGCAGTCTATATATATATATGGGATGAGGGACCTCATGTCTCACTCTCTGGCCTTGGGACTCTATCTGGTCCAAAACCTTCACCCACCCTGTTTCACCCAAAATGTTTTCACCTGGCTAGAATGTGCCCTGGAACTCTGACAATGTCCCTGACTTCTCTGGAGGTGGTGTGTGTGTGTGTGTGTGTGTGTGTGTGTGTGTGAGAGAGAGAGAGAGAGAGAGAGAGAGAGAATGTACAAACTAGTTTACTGTATGAAGGTAAAAATTGCATTT